GGTGGGCCGTTTTGTTTTATTACCTACTAAGGTACGGTCGCCACACAATCCATTAGGCGGCTCTTTCTGTGCTGGTAACACTGAGCGTATCTAGCGAATTACGCACACCACTTTCTATGTTATATATTTTCAGTTATCAAGTCATATATTTTTTATATTTGCAACACATTATAACGCTTCTTTTATTTCACGATAACCTTTTGCGATCGTGAATAGGCCGGGTGGTCAATCATGTATGTCGATCCGTCTCTACGCAAACGACTCCCTCAGTTTTTTCTTAATGAAACTTTGCATATAGTCTTCTATATACTCTTTTTGCTATATATGTCGGAAAGGCCGGATCGGACAACTATATCATATCATACAAATGTTCGTAAAATTTTTTAGTAAAAATATTAGATCGCATCTTGGCTGTTTTTCAACATTTTTGCATCATTTTTGAGATATAGCCATTTTATAATATTTCAGAGTTTTGTTTTAAATTTTATGACAATCGGAACACTATATCTTATAGCCATCGGGAAATTAATACAAAAAAAATCGTCGTTTTTCAACATATTTACATGTGCTCTGAGATATAAGCTTTTTTTTGATATTTTAAAATTTTGGTATAAATTTTATGAAAATTGGACAACTATACCATACAGCTGCCATTGAAATGATCGGTAGATGAAGAGAAAATGTAATGTTGGGAACGTAAAACTGTAACTGTCAAACTGTAAACATAATAAGTATAGGTAAAATGTAATGAAACTCTTTTTTGTGTTTGTTGTCAGCATTTAAATGTTTTATATAAATATAAAAACCCAATTATTATATACTATTTATAAATATTCAACTTTTATATATTTCCTTTTATTTTTTCTATTAGCTAGGAGGGCTCGATTCTTATTGATCCAATTGCAAACTGCAAGGGTATATAAACTTAGGCTTGCCGAAATAAGCTTCCTTTTTTGTTTGATTTGGTTTGAATTTTGTTTTCGTGAATGTTTACTTTAATTAGCGAAACAACATGGAACTCTTCGTCCACGACTAGCCCAAAAATGCTGTTGACAAGAGCGTTTGAGCTTTTCTCCCTAATTAAAAAACAGTTTCATTTAAGTCTTCTACTCCGACACTGCTTGATTGCTCTCGGCATCTGCTAGGAGGGAAAATCTGTCGTTATTGGAACTCCTGGTTTATTCGTTGCTTTTGACGATACGGTTAATCGTTGGTTAGTTACCAACCGTGTTTTGTTTCAAGCTTACGTTTGATCTAATCACTAACCATACAACATATAGACTGGTCATTTCATACAACGAAAATGGAACCAAAAATTTCTTAGCGACAGGCCCCAGAGCTGTTCGCGACGGGCCCCGAGACTTCGTGTGCGCCCGAAGCGAAAGGCCCCGTAGCTTCGTGTGCGCTCGGGTTTTTCGCTCACTCATTCTTACGCTCGCACTCTGATTGCGAGAGTTCAGTCGCAGAGTCAGAAGGTTGCTCTGCGCTTGAACTCTTCTTTATATGTATGCGTGTTCATGCATTCACATACACGGGTGCATGTGTGCGATCATTTCGTTTCGCTCAGCAAGAATATTTGGTCTTTTGCTACTTTTCGCGCTAGGTACCCTTACAATATGGGCATATTCACTATTGGGTTAATAGTAAAAATAAGAATGTTATATGTTATAATATATTTCTCACTTTTGCACCAATAAATCATTAAAAAAAAAAAAAAAAATAATTATAATAATATATTTCTAAATGTTTCAGCATACATATCATATTTGTTTACAAATTCAAATCACCCGCAGCAGTGAAATTATTTTCATATATGTATGCATTCGAATGAATAAAAATCAATCTACTGTGATAGGAACAGGGCATATTGCAGTCGGTGTCACTTAAAAAACCGACTGCTCTTATGGGGTTGAGAAATCAAATCAGCTGTTCTGCGAGCGGATGGTGGCTGCATACCCTACCGACGATTGGGTATTATGCTTTGACTGTGGTTTACCAACATCACTAGAAGAATGCAAAAAGTCGAAATAAAATGGATATATGCTCTTCCAATTTACTTATAATACTAAAAATTACATGCAAAGTATGATGATAAAAAATGTAGCGTGCGAATCTGATTAAAATTAAATAAAAAATAAACTACGCTATATTTCTGCTTGTAAATTAAAGCATATGAAAATGACATTATTGCATCACCTTTTAAAATTTGTTTCATTAAAATAGTCTCTGCCGTTTCGCTGAAATCAGTGTTTAAACAGCTTGCCGCGAAAGTGACTTCTGTTTTTGTCGCGTGCAAATCCTTCAGTTTTTTTTAATTTTCTTAAAATTTAGCAAACACTCAAAATTTACATTTGCACCAATTATAGTCCTAGGCAAGACCTTAACTTATAGGTCATTTATAAAAAAACAAAAAAAATTAAATGTACCATACTTTTTTTTTTTATTTAAATGCGTACGAATGTCGTGTGCGACATTTTGGAAATGCCCATATATGTATATATATATTTTTTTTGTAAAGGTAAATGGAACAATATACACATCTTAATTTTTTAATTATTTATTTATTCTTATTTATTTTATTTATTTATATATGCAAATCATTTCACTGCTGCGGGTGATTTGAATTTATAAACATATATGAAATGTATGCTGAAACATTAAGAAATATATGTAAAAAGGGAAGGGATCGAAGCAGGCGGAGAGCTTCGAACTGATAGCAGCTAAGTAGGAACAGGGAGAGAATTATTCATTGTGTTTTGTGGAGTTCAGCAGTGCGGTTGAAAATTCAGTAGATACGACAGCAGAGAGAACCATAACGAAAGCTGAAAATTAAAAAAGCAGAAAAGACGCAAAACTTGCAATAATCAAAATAAATATAATTTAACAAAATAAATACTATAATAAAGAAGAACCAGCTAAGCGGGGCTATCAACCCATCTTACATATATTATAACATATAACATTCTTATATTTACTATTAACCCAATAGTGAATATGCCCATATTGTTAGGGTACCTAGCGCGAAAAGTAGCAATAGACCAAATATTCTTGCTGGGCCGAAATGAAATAATCGCACACATGCACCCGTGTTCGTGAATGCATGAACACGCATACATATAAAGAAGAGTTCAAGCGCAGAGCAACCTTCTGACTCTGCGACTGAACTCTCGCAATCAGTGTGCGAGCGTAAGAATGAGAGAGCTAAAACCCGAGCGCACACGAAGCTACGGGGTCTGTCGCTTCGGGCGCACACGAAGTCTCTGGGGCCTTTCGCTAAGAAATTGTTGGCTCCATTTTCTTTGTATGAAATGACCAGTCTATATGTTGTATGGTTAGTGATCTAATGTAGCTATTTATTCCGGTACCCCTTGTTGCTAATTTGAGCTTACTGTTTTTTGTTGACATTGTTGGCGGTGTGGCTGTTCGCACCGATTTCAATATTGGACGTTGTTTTAGGTGTTGCTGATTTTTTTTGCTGCAATCTAAAAAATTGTAGCACTTCTTGTTGCTTGCGTTTTTCATCAAAGCCGGTGATTTAGGAGTGGGAGTGAATAGAGCGGCTGAGAAATTTGTTTTGCATATGTACCTAATAAATTTCGTCTATATGCATGCTCGGTGGTAAGTAGCAACTGTATATGGTAGTCGCTTGAAACTTAGCCATGGTGTAGCCAGGTCTTGACGCTCTCTGCGATAAGTGGCTGGGGGATTGACCACAGCTTCAGATGGCAGCGCCGTCGTCGACGCTTTGCTTCCATACTCGTTCTGGTCTTGCCTTGTAGGGTTCGCTTAGTATACAGATGTCGATACTCTGCTCGATGTCAGTAAATCACATTTAAAGCATGACTCCTGCGTGGCTTTTGCTGATGCATCGGACGCTCGGCATTTTGCCGAGGTGTGCCCAAAGCCTATGCATTTAAAGCAACGTCTCGGCTTCGATTTCTTTCCGATGCGACAAGCGACTCATCTAATCCGGATTTTCCCCTCGCCCAACCTCCGTGCATGATCCGGTCTGAAATTAACTGTTACAGTTTGCGTCCGAACGAATTACGCATCCTGGGTGCAGCATCGCATGGAATGCCGCACTCCTCTCCCGCAAAAAGGGCCATGTCGCTGGTCCGCGCTGGTCATGTCGTCCAGGTCGCGGATCTCCACTTGGACCGTCTCCCGCATAACCGCCATCTCTAAGTAGATGGATCCAGAGGCTTCTGCATCCTTAGAAGGGGTCCGCCCTAAGCTATCCTCCGTAGTCCTTGCACATTGTTTTTGAGTCCCTGAAGAGAGGGCTCGGTTGTTGCATATCTAGCCAGAAGGCTGGAACTACTAAAAACTACTTGCCTTTGCAAAAAATACCTTGATACTTAAGAACCTCGAAAACCGCGCAAATAGTCTCAAGGTCCATCGAGAAATTTTACGAACAAATATTCCCTATACGCGGCGATTTATAAAACTTTTACGCACTACAAGATAAAAACAAATTTAATTTGCGTGAATACTTGGATGAGGAATTCAGAAACGCATAGTTATCCGGTGCGAATTGAGGGCTTTTTTATTGTTTACCTTTTTTCGAATGGTGTGTCTGTATTCATATCGCAAAAAAAAAAAAATTAAGAAAAATAACATGGAGTAAAATAAATTGTTTGGAAACGATTAAAATCGAAAACGGAAATAATTTAAGTTGTAAATGAATTTAATCGAGTTTACATAGGATAAAACTTATTAGATTAAATCGATTCGGGAAATTTATATCGATATATCGCATTATTGAAAAAATTAATGAATCTATTTTATTTCCAGCTGTAATATAAAGTTGTCATTTTCAAGCTTTTAATAAAGTGGCTAATGAATGAAAACTGCATTACTGCGTCATACAACCATTAGAAACCGTCTTTTACATTACTCTTCGTTCATACAGTCATGGGAAACAGTGTGAACGTTACATTAACGATTCATTATACATGGGCACATTAATCGGCTTTCAATGGTTACTTATTACAAGAACCACCCTGTTTTTCTACAACCTTAATAACTCTTAGATTAGATGCTTCCAATGCAGATTTTAAATCAGTCAATGTTGTTTTTTTTAACACATACTCTATATAAAAAAGTATTTGGCTATGTGCATTACATTTATTTCGGATTTAAAAAATGAATTATACACATATGTTAATTTGGCACCATTTAAGATAAGTAAATATTTATCCGTTGGCGACGCCATTTTGTGCACTCAAAAATTAAATAACTTTTAGATGGAACTTGGTAAAAAAAGGTAATTGTTATTAACTTTATTTTAAAATTTAACCATATATAACCCATAACAAAATAACTTACAATGAATGTTCAGTTATGTGTACAATAAATACATACATATACATTAATTTAAAACTTGTATATGCACATGCATACATACATACATATGTATGTATTAATATTTCATTGAGCTAATATACAAGTTTTATTCATACAATATACATACATTTGTACATAGGTGGATATGTATGCCTTTATACAAATATACAATGAAAATTGTAATTTCATAAACAAATTCTACAATTAGTAATTTTTTTTTTTTTTAGGTATAAGGGTGGACGGACACCTATTAGGTCCAGTGAAAGGCGACGTCCTCAAAGTGTTTCATCTTTATCTGCATTTTCGCCGAGAGTTGTTTTATCCAGATTGGAACCCAGGGATTTTGAACGTCTTCGATTATCTTACAAAGTTCAAATCGACCAAAGAAGATCTAGAAGCTGCCGTGGCATGAACATGGGTCAAAAAATTAGTGGTGGAGTCAAAACAGTTAGTCGTAATGATTCACAGTCTACCTTCAAACCAATAATACCAAGAGAGCTTCAAGCTGATTTTGTTAAACCAGCACGCATTGATATTTTGCTTGATATGCCGCCTGTTTCTAGAGAATTACAACTAAAACATTCATGGAATTCAGAGGATAGGTCTTTAAACATTTTTGTTAAAGACGACGACAAATTAACGTTTCACAGACACCCAGTCGCGCAAAGCACAGATTGTATCCGTGGCAAAGTCGGTCTAACGAAGGGATTGCATATTTGGGAAATTTATTGGCCAACAAGACAGAGGGGAACACATGCTGTTGTTGGTGTATCTACAGCTGACGCGCCCTTACATTCAGTTGGATATCAAAGTTTGGTGGGGTCGACTGAACAAAGTTGGGGATGGGACCTAGGCAGAAATAAATTGTACCATGACTCTAAAAGCTGTGCAGGCGTCACATATCCAGCTATTTTAAAAAACGATGAAGCTTTTTTAGTTCCAGATAAGTTCTTAGTAGCCTTAGATATGGACGAAGGAACACTAAGCTTCATCGTTGACCAGCAATATCTAGGAGTTGCATTTAGAGGGCTCAGAGGTAAAAAACTTTATCCAGTCGTGTCAGCTGTCTGGGGTCACTGTGAAATAACTATGCGCTACGTTGGTGGATTAGATCGTAAGTATAAATGAATTTATCATTATCAAATAATATGAAACCTACTTAATAACTTATGTATAAGTCGAACATTTACGTAAATTACATTTAATTTAATTTGAAGGTTTACATTTGTAACACATTGCCAACAGGTTTGAAATGCAGTTAAGTAGTCTCATTAGAGGTTTGAAAACATCAAAGATTTCAAACATCGATGGTTCATACAAGGAACTAAGTAAGAGATCAATGTTGCGGTTGATAAATAGTACTTTGTCAGTCTTCAGCGAGCACCTGGTCCGAAATCATTGGCCCTGCCTTGCTGAACATGCGATTCGCTCTCACCACCACCACAATGTTATCCGATCAATATATATATATGACTTATAACTTTTATTTTGAAATTTAAAAAATAGAAATTAAAAATTTAATTTTAATAACTTATTAACTGAGCGACCTATTTTAAAGATTGGCATACATAATTCATCTAATTTTCAATATCTTTTGTTTGATAATATATGGCTTTGACTGATGACTTGGGAATTTGCGTTTGAATATAATGCATATGCATAAAATATATAAAAATGTTCAATATATGCAAATATGTAATATAAACACATCAAAATATTTAATAAAAGATATTATTAGGGTGGTAAATAGGTTAAAATATCTCGATGCTTAAAAAAAAATGCAAATTCCAATCACCACATACATCAAACGGAAGGTATTGAAAAGTAGAATAATTATATATGCCAATCTTTAAATAGGTTTTCCCAGTTAAAAAGTAATTGACAATTTTTTTTTTTTAATTTTAAAATAAAAGTTATATGTCAATTTTTACTTTCTCATAACTCTTATTTGCGATCCCTGCTTTTAAGTAGTTATTTATTAGTATAAATGTTAAATAAATAACTGCATAAATTTTGGTTCTTGCACTTTTTACGCTTTTTCTGATTGTAAAAATAAGTGATGGGAAAATTTCATAAGCCATCGATGTTAACCAAAAAAACATCGATGAATTTATGTATCGATGTTGAGTATTCTTTTCCAAACATCGGTAAAACATCGATGCATTGCACATTGCAGTGCGAACAAGTTTGTCAGTTTGCGAGATATCTAAATTAACCTTTACAGATAGTCTTTCGATTGCAACCGCCACAGTCGTCATTAGCTAGAGTGTGCGATCAAACGATCTTCACGTGCTTCCCAAAATAATTGTGAGTTGTAAACTTGTTGTTGTTGCAGAAATCATAACGGAAAGAGCAGATGGAGCTGAAAATGCCATTGTGTGCCCACTTAGGGTTTAGCAGGTCAAACTCTGTCAACTCTGTCAAATACTCAAAATTTTGAATATTTGTTCATTACGGAATCATCAGTAACAATTGGAAATAGCAATCTATCAGTTACAAATGTTCGCAGGTTGCCTTGCTAAGGTCGTAAAACCTAGTGTGGGTAAAATTCCGTAATATCTTCGAGTTTGACAATGTTTCGTGTCCAAAAGGCAAACATTTTCATTTTAGGTACACATTAACCACTGTGAAACAAGGTTGGTGGTGGCCTAATTGAATGTGACTGCTTTTTATGCGTTTGGAAGTAAATAAATTTAAAATATAAAATATTTTGTGCTGGTGACCGCGTGTTAGGTAGAAAGGGAGGCGATCATAATAAACATTGGCTTAGACTTTCTGGAGCGTTTTCTTATTGTGGTATCCCCAATAGGCCTACTCCACATTCAATATGCGTAATTCTCTAGAAAGAACAACCGCCGTCAACAAGTTAAAAGTTCTTTAAAGTTTTTGTTTTCAATATATTCACATTAAGAAATGTTCCAATTGATCAAATTTGAAAAATATCATTATATTCTATATCCCATCAGAATCAAAACAAATTTGAATTCCAGAAAATTATTAAATAGATATGCAAAATAATACAAATAATTGATATATGTAAATACATACGTAATTACATAAATACATATGTATTTACAATTATCTAATTCAATTCACTAATAAATTAATTAAATATTGTTATAAACAAGAAAGGAAGCTAACTTCGGCACGCCGAAGTTATACCCCTGCAGGGTATTATAATTTCAGTCAGAAATTTGCAACGCAGTGAAGGAGACCTTTCCGACCCTATAAAGTATATATATTCTTGATCAGCATCAACAGCCGAATCGCCATGTCCGTCTGTCCGTTTCTACGCAAACTAGTCCCTCAGTTTTAAAGCTATCTGAATGAAACTTTGCATATAGTCTTTTATATACTCTCACTGCTATATATGTCGGAACGGGCCGGATCGGACGACTATATCATATAGCTGCCATACAAATGTTCGAAAAATTTTTAGAAAAAAAATATAACTTGGCTGTTTTTTAACATTTTTGCATGTTTTTTGAGAAATGGCCATTTTATATTATTTCAGAATTTGGGTTTTAATATTTTGAAAATCAGACGACTATATCATATAGCTCATATAGGCCTGGTTCAACCTGATAAATGTCAATCGTTCAGTTTTAACTTTCATATACATACCCACAGCATATTGGAGAAATAGACGTTTCAGCCTTTTTGAATAATAATTCATTGATCTACGTTTTTTGTTAGTTTTAGCACCTGAAAACAAATTTTTGTGCTAATACACATTTTAAGTTAGTAAACATATATTTTAATGTTTATTGTTATTTTTGTTTTAATAATATACAGGCCTGTTCTAGTTTCCACTTCCGCAAAATTGATTCGGATTTCCCTTACCTGTTCTAGTTTTCACTTCCGAAAAATTCTTACGGATTCGCATTTCCCTCTGATAAGTCTCTGTTAATTTGCAGGCGAAAAGTTCGAAAACTTTCCGTGTGCCATTTGGCCGGCGGATTCAAATCCGCAAAATCAGAAATTAATTATTTTAAAATACAATGCGATTATGTATATTACCATAAAATAGATTTTAAAAATGAATAGTCATCATCAGGCATTGGCAATAAGGAAAACCTGTTCGATGATATATTTGACCTTGAATCTGCATTAATATAAATATGTATTTAGGTAATTGTGTAGCAAATTAAAAGCTATATAAAATTTAAATTATATTACCTTAAAATTATATTTAATTAAAATTATATTTACTTTGAAAATAGGCATAAAATGATCTCGAATAACTGATGTCATTTTAAAGCAATTATTGTATTCCTTGGATATAAGTCACAAAATGATTACCATTTCCAAAAACCAATGAATGTAATGTCTCTGGTGGGGGTACCAATGGCGTCAATTTGACTTGGCCGGCATTTTTGAATTTCAATGCCTTGCATTATTCCCAATCTGAGATACGGTTACGCCCACATGGCGCTCCTATATCCTTCTTTGCTCTGAGGTTCAACTAAAAAAAAAATATGTCAAATCGATCTAGCTGTTCTTAAGTTATTTCGTGACCAGGTGAAACTGGTTTCATTTTTTAATAAAAAGATGTACCGGAAAAATTACACATTTTACAACTTCTAAGGTTATGTACCTCAGTAAAATTGATATATGTGCAAATTTTGTTTTCTATATAACTGTCGTTTTAATAGCGATAGTTTTTTTTTAAGTACACACCATTTTTCCCTTATATATGCTAATATTGCTGCATACATTGGGTTTTTATTAGCTCTCAATTTGTAGTACCACTAGCGTAAAAAAGAACACGAAGAACTGCTTTTAATAGAAAGTTGATAAATGTGCAATATGCTTCATTTACGTTTGGAGGGCGACCCGGTCATATTCTAATGGAACAAAGTGATTAAATTTGTGATTTTATTCACTAAAAATTAATTATATTTTATATTGGGCTATTTTTAAAAGAGCTGGGTTAAAAAAACGATACTCCATGATTAAAATCCCACGGAGAACCGAATTAACGGAAGAAGAGCAGATTAGAGTAAAAACTATGGCTGAATGTGGCGTCAAAGTGAGTGTTATTGCTACAACAATTAATACAATAACAAATTTCCTAAAGTCATCGCAAAATTAAGCTCAGAACAACCGCAAAGGTGCAGTTCCTAAGGTTGATGGCAGGACTAAGCGCCACATTAGAGCTTGGAAACTGTAAAAAGTATGAGTTACGCTCAAATTAAAACAGAATTGAAGTTGCCAATAACTAGGCAAAGGGTGCAACAAGTTTGCAGAAGGGACTTGAACCTCAGATTTGAAGCAAAGGTGCTAAAACCCAAGCTATTGCGACGCCATAAAATGGCTGGACTTGACTATTATGAAAAATATTAATTTTGGGACAGCTAATTTCGTAAATTCATCTTTAGTGATGAAAAAAAGTTGAATTTAGACGGGCCTGATGTAAATCAAAAATATTGGCGAGACCCTAGGTATCCCCAGCTAACTTGCCACAGACGCAACCACGGTGGTGGATCTCTAATGGCTTGGGCTGTTTTTAACTTCTTTGGTATCCCCATATGCTTTGTGTCTGTTCTAATGAATGCGCAAATATGCTCGGATCTCTTGGAAAGTGAGCTGGTACCCCTTTCGGAAGAGTTCCATCCCGAGAATATTGTTTTTCAACAGGATAACGCTCCCATACACGTTCACGGTTTCTGGAATACAAACAAAAATTTCCTTGACGCAGTGGCCAGCTATAAGTCCGGACTTAAATCCGATTGAGAATCTTTGGGGCATCCTCTCACATAAAGTTTTCGGCGGTGGAAGGCAATTTGAGAGCCTAAAAGACTTAAAGGAGGCAATAGTAAAGGAATGGGCAAATATTGATATAACCGTCCTCCAAAACTTGGTTAATTCAATGCCGAGGCAGTTGAAATTATTGGAGCAGCTAAAAGGAGACACTATTTCATATTAAAAACACATTTAAGCAATATTACAAATGTATATAATCCTATTTTTGTCAATAACTCATTTTTGCACATATATCAATTTTCTATGAAGACTACTTTTAAATTATTATCTTAATAAGAAACAATGCATTATTAAATATTTTCTAAGCTGATTCATTTTGTACATCTACTATCTATATAAATAAAATAA